GGGGGAGTGTTAATTTACAGCATGTATATAGTGTAGTATTGTCCCACATCGGTAGAGGAGTAGTATGTCCTTGTATAGTATAGCTATAAATAAGGACCTCTTGTGTAGTATTATTCATTCATTCAATATATCAATAACATATTTTCTCCCGTGCCTTCTCACAAAACAAATAAAACTAAAGGTCAAAATAATATGAGATTTCGATCATAAGTTGTTGGCAAAGCATTTAGGGACTATGGTAGGACTTTACACGCCTCTAGTTACTAGCACACTTCCCCTTATTTTATGGGTCACATAACCTCTTTTTGGTCCTCTCTCCCCTTTCTTAACTAGCTTTGCACTCATATGCCTTTTGTAAACCAGAAAGAGACAACAGAATCAACCAAAATACTTACAACTAATAAAACAGAAACAATGCTATAGATGAAAATCAGCTTTCTCTTCAATAAACAAATCCACCAACTGATATCTCAAAGTATGAGAAGAAGTCGCATCTTCCGCAACATTAAAGGCTATAACACAATCAAACATTTACTTGAGCAGGCATTGGGAAACAAAGTTTTGTACCCTGACAATTTCTTTTTACTATGTTCTTAAGATTTTACTGCACATACAGCCAATTGTGAATCGATCAAATCTTGTTCTTCTTTCACTAGGTTCTTGGGTGGGGATCATTTTTTTTTGGCAATGAACTTTTCCCCAAATGTAAGGCTAGGTTCTACCGCACATAAGTCAAAGCGGCAAAATAGAGTGGCTGCAGATTAATGGAGTATCACCGAGCAGAAGGTTGCAGGGATCATGGGAATGAGGATTGTGTTAGTACCAGAGAAGGGGAGGGGAAGGCTGGCACTGGGAAAACGGTTTCCCAGCAGAGGTTGGGGCGTTGGGCAGATGGGTAGATCAGGGAGAGCAAGGTGGCAACACAATGGAGTACAACCAAGGTAGGGATCAAGAAGGAGCAGGCTAGAGATTAGAGAGATCTGCAGAGTGCAATCATGAGACGTAAGGCAAAGCTAGAAAGGAAGGTGAGAGGACATGACAAAAAAGTGAGGGAATAAGAAACACACCGTTCTCCATAGAAATAGTAAAGGAGTATATTCAACAAAAATGGGAAAGATAAAGAGCTCCACTCAAGTTTTATCCATTAAAGCGATTAACCACTAAGTAGGTACATGAAATGGGAAAAGGGAAGCACCTCCAAACAGATGCGCAAAATTTGGGGCAGAGAAACAGAGGATGTTCACATAAAATGGTTACAGACATAATTAAGTAAACAAAGGTGTCCTTGTCTAAGCAATTTTTTCAAATTCAACTCTCAATGCAACCTATCATAAGAAAAGCAGTTTGCATGCACTTGGCCGATGAGGTAGTTTGTCTCACATATGAGGATGCAGAAAAGACAAGTAAATGAATAAAAGAGTCCCTTCCCTAGCAGCAAAACTTTTTAGAAGAGGTGATTCACATAATAAAATAAGAGACTGACTCTATGTGAGGAAATTGAAATAGAAGAGGAGTCAGAGAAGGAGAGAGAAGGAGATAAGGCTGAGACAAAGAAAGCATGATTGGTTCAAGAAAGAGAACAATCTTTCTGCGAGATATCCTTCTAACTTCTAAGTGCAAGTAAAACTGCTAATGATAAAAACCAAGGGAACAAGTAAATCAGTATAAAATCCATCATTTTTTCTTATTGCATCAGAAAGCATGCTTCACTTACCACGCTATTGGCATCCCTCCCTCCACAAAGCAGAAGAAGACCGTCAGATCGCGCACTTGCAGTTGCGTACCTAGCCAAGTAACAAGAGCAAATTAGGACTTCATTACCTTACTGGACACTTGGACCAGATTAGATTCACAAGAATTTATCTTCAGTTGGACATCACCAGAGGAAACTAGTGAGAATACACAAACAAAATTCAGAATAGATGAAGATGCAAATGTGTAAAATGCACTCCGACAGCTTTGGTTCAACAAACAGTACAGTCGAAAGAGACTTTGCTAAAAAAAATGTAGAAGTTTTGAAAAAATAAGAGACCAACATATGCTCAAACTGTCACAACTGTTCATCAAATAACCATCTTCAGATAAGAAAAAAATGTACATCCCACTGCTTGAGCCTTTGTCACGTTTATGTTTGGTGTGTCCAGGCCATCGAGCATGCACCTAAACTAATCAACCAAGACAACCTGCAATATAAGCACACGTAACAAAGACCTGCCAATAATGACTACAGCAGATGGGCTCACACTGAGTGTAGTTGCGGATTTTGAACCTGGAATGGCCATATTGTTATCCTATGCCTCAACCAAACTCCCTAGAAGACAAGCCAAGGTATATCTTCTTTGTTTCGTTGAATTCTTTATTTTCTTCTAGGTCATCGAAAAACTCATAAGAAACATCACCAGAAGGAATAAACTTGTTTTCTTATGACATCGAGAATTCGTAATTTTACTTCACTATTAAAACCTCAGAAAAGGAGCTCCCCTTATCATGTATGAAATCCGAAAAGTAGGTGCAAGAAAATATGCTATTCTAGAGAGATGGCAACTCCATCAGCAAGTGAAACTGATTTGAAACCAAGAACATGCCAGCGAGGTGCAAAATTGAGCCACTCAACCATCAAATGGTAGCAATAGTTTGTGGAATTTCAAGTTTTAGTTTCCTAAAATCATACCAGGGCAACATTTCCATGATATCTACCTCTTCAAAAATAAGGACTTATCCACGGAAATGCTGATACCAATAGTTCAGCAAATCTCTCTTCTTTGACGTCAATGTCGTATATGTCTTTACTGAAATAGTCCATACAGTATGGTTTTCTGAACAAGGTTTAAGCACAATAACAACCACCACCACTTCCGAAAACATCAGATTTTTTGAGTGTGATTTATCAAGTCAATAATTTATTTATTTTTCCTGCACACGAGCTGCAAATAAAAACTTATGCAAATAACAAATTCTCTGCCAAGAGCATCAGTCATCAAAATCACGTGCACTCCAATCTGTTAAAAATGAAAAACAAAAATAAGAAGATTCCACTAAGGCTATGGTCATTGGGTTGTGACATTGGGAAACTTCCTACTGTATATTTGGTTTTGGCCCTGGGGGCAAAAAATAAGGCTATGGAAATATGGAATGGTGTGATTGATAAATGTGAGAAGAGACTAGCAAAATGGAAGGCTCAATATCTATCTTTGAGGGAGGCAGGATCATATTGATTAACAACATTTTGGATGTTTTGCCAACTTATGTTATGTCTCTTTTTCCACTGCCTACTAAGGTGGAAAAAAGATTGGATTCTCACAAAAGGAATTTTTTGTGGCAAGGTTGCAAGGAGACTAGATGTTTTCATCTAGTTAGATGGAAATCTGTCATGTCCAGCAAGAAAGAATGAGGTTTGGGGGTCAGAAATTTCAGACTGCATAATAAAAGTTTATTGTGGAAATGGCTATGGAGATTTAACACAGAAGAGTGTGCCTTATGGAAGAGAGTGATTAGCCACAAATATGGGCAGCAAGGGCAATGGATCACCCCTCCAGTCAACTCTCCCTATGGAACAAGCATATGGAAGGCAGTTAGGAAGCTTTGGGAGGAGTATGCTTTAAACATTGGATTCACAGTTGGTAATGGAAGAAGAATATTATTTTGGAGTGATACTTGGTTAGGGCATGGTCCTTTGAAAGATTTTTTCCCAGAACTATTTTGCCTAACAACTACACCTCAATCTATAATAGAAGGTGCATGGAATTTACAGGGTTGGAATTTTTCTTTCAGAAGGATCCTAAATGATTGGGAAATCGGTAGGGTGGCTGAAATGCTGAAGGTTCTGGGAATTTTTCATGGTACCAGGAATGTTGAGGATACAGTGATATGGAATGAAGGAAACACGAGAAGGTTTTCAGTCAGTTCTGCATATTCTTTTTTGTCAGAAGGTGCTCAATTATCTAGTTGGCCATGGAAATACATATGGAAGATTAAAGCCTCTTTTAAGGTCACATGTTTTTCTTGGCTGGTGGCCAGGAAAGCTTGTCTCACTCATGAAGTTTTGCGGTTAAGGGGGATTCCTATGACTTCCAGATGTTTCTTGTGTCAGAAGGAGGAAGAAACCACTAGCCATCTCTTTCTACATTGCAAAGTAACTGATACTCTGTGGCAGTTATTCCTTTCCCTGGCAGGAATACGATGGGTAATGACAAAGAATACCAAGGACCTTTTGTGGTGCTGGAATTATATTGAAACAAGGAAGAGTCAGAAGCTATGGTGGAGAATGGTGCCAGCATGTATATGGTGGACGGTGTGGACAGAAAGGAATCATAGATGTGTTGAGGATAGAATTAGTTCCATACAAAGAATTAAGCTGAATTGTTTTTTGTCTTTTCAATTCTGGTGTAAAGAGAACAATATAGAGGATGCAGAATTACTTGTAGATTTCTTATATTCTTTCTAAGATACAAGGCCCTCTGTAATTTGTACATTCTTTTTTTGGATACCAGTACCAACTTGGTGCTGATGAATATATTGTTACCTTACTCAAAAAAAATAAGAAGATTCCACTAAGTTGTATGACAGTATTTTCAACTCCTTCAAACGCTCTGTGGTTCTCTTCTTACCATATTATCCACATGAGCGATCTCCTTATTCGACTCATCCATTTGAACTTCCATCCTACCATCATATCTCTAATGGTTTGATACACCAAACGTTTCGAGTGTTGGAAGTAAATTTATATTTTGATGTGTCAAACGTTCGAAAGCGTCGAATACAAGGAAGTGAACAAAATGTTGACAGAGGATCAAGGATATGGTAAAAAGCATGTGACTTAAAATGTATAACAACTTTTCAACTTTAAAATCTTGATTTAAAGGAACTATTTCTTAAACTTAATGACTATTTCTCTACTCTAAAGACAATACTAGAAAAGGAATGTCATTTTCCTCGCAAGTCTTTATTAAGTAGTCCATGTGCTTTATTTACAATACGTAGTAACGCCTCTTGATTCTTTTGAGTGTAGTGAACAAATCCCACAACATAGTTATCTCATGTCAACACTAATACGGAAAAGAAGTTTGTGTTGCGCACCAGTAAATCGGAATTGATAACTCGTGTTTTATAGCCAAGAAATCCACGATGGCTAGTGGCACACAATTTGAGACTCGGTGGATAATGGCCCCTAACATTCTCCATTTAAATACCTCGCTTTTGTCTGCGCCAGGGCTTGAACCCGTGACATGCGCCTAATCCACACATCACATGCTACGTTAAAAGCTAAATTTAAATTTCATGGAAAATACTTCCGAGTAAATTAACAGTTGGAATAATTAACCAATATAGCAACTCAGTCTCACAATGAAGCTAGTTGAGCTCGCTATATGAATTATTACTATCCAAATCTCTTCATTTCGACTCGTTCTATTCAAATTATAAAAAAAATTATGCTCTCTAACACTAGAAAGCTCTAAATTTCTACAGGTAACAAATTTCCAACATTATTAAAAGAGTCCAAAATAATATTGAACCTAAAGTGAGTTTACCAATATGACTGAGCCTCAATCCCAACAAAAATTTGTTATCACATATATGGATCATTTTCTTTCATTATAACCTATTTTTCTCCAAGTCTGCACAAATTCAAGAGATTCTACGTCTTTGAAACAACTTTCTTCATGTGCATCTAAAGGTCGACGTAGGACATGACCAAACCATCTCAAATGATCTTCTCTAATATTGCACTTGCAACTATAACAAGCTCAATACTTCTTTTTAAAAGTAAAAAGATCTAAGCAATTTCCCAATAGCATGTCCCACACAAAGATTTTTTTTTTTTTTTTTTTTTTTTTTTTTTTTTTTTTTTTTTTAGAATGATAACATTGTATTCGTCAGTACAAAATGTACTGGCAACAGAATTTACAAGCTACAGCCCTTGTGTATTTTACAAGGCTTCCAAAAATATAGATTCAGCATCTACTACAGAAGACTCTTTACACCAAAAGTGCAGATCTAAAATACAACTCATTTTAACTACTTGAATGGAGCTGCTAGTAACTTCAAAACATCTGTTGTTTCTTTTCCTCCAGTATTTGATAAGTATGGTTTATATCAAATACATTATGGAATATCTTATAACACCAAAAGCATATATTAAGCAAAAGGGAGCTCTTAGCTCTCCTCAAAGGATTTTCTACACACTTAAGTATCGTTTTTCTTTCCGTTCAAATTAACAAGAAAAGAAAATGAGGAGTGACCTTCAACAGCTCTTTATTTCTGGTATCCAGCTTCTTCATCCTCCAACCACTCGAGGACTTTGCAACTGTTTCAGGTAGCGTTCACATATTGTTGAAAATGAAAAGGAACAAAGCTAATAACTCTATCGCAAAAGTGCACCAGAAAATGGTTCACTTCATGCCTACTTTATACACAAGCAAAACCAACGAACTATGATGCAATTTCATTTCCTTAAATTATCTGCCGTCAAATGCACACACCACTCGGAAACTGGCCAGCTTTTTAGATGTCAATAATCCATCATAATTCTAATAAGTAAACACATACTTTTATAAGCCAAAGAAATGAAGACACCCCCTCCCTTAAGACAAAAAAAGAAGCTGGATTATTGGACTTGGAACTTGGGAATAGATAACAAAATCATCACCACGTAAGTAAGTCAGAAATGACCATGAGGCATTTTCTTTTATGAATAGCGTACAAAAGATCAGGTGCATTTTCTTATATGGATAACCCCACAACCAAACCCTGTAGGAGCCTAACAATAACTCTTTCCCACTTTGATTCCTTGGTGACTTGAAATTCCAACCTTGTGGTTGGAGGAGAGAGTTACCTGTTGGCCATCCCTCCCTTGTCAAGGGATCAGGTTCATTCTTCTAAGCAATAAATCATAACCAAACAGTCACTGAAGACTGCCACTGTTTACCACATGCTACTTCTTTGATTGATATGTACAAACAAAACTTTAGGTTCTTCACCATGTAATAAAGAACATAAAGTTCAGAAAAGCAAATTGAATACAGTCAAAAGTAACAAGAAAATATGAAAGTCATGTACATTTAGGAACTAAAATACACATCTTCAAGAAAGAGATCATGAAATTTACATGCAAGGAGGTGGACCTTCACCCTCAGGTTCCAATTTGCGCCATTCATATGGCTTGGCAGCTGTATCCAAGGCCCAAACATCCGCTAGAGGTCGTTTTCCTGAAATAATGGATCAACTTTTTATTTCTTAAACTTTATATGCTTAAAAGATGGGGAGGGCCTTTTAACGAGACTGACCATCATTTCCACCAATAGCCATGAGATATCTTTGCCCTACCAAAGCCATGACGTGGCCATAACGTGGCCCTGGACCAGGTCCTTGGACCACAACCCTGAAAATGTCAGAATTATTTCAGTAGTTGATCAGCACTTCCAAATTTCACACCTCACCAGCATGCACCACGTTCATTGAAACTAAGTCATTACTTGAACTGCTAAATGCTAACCTGTGCCATCGCGGGCGCTGTTGTGTAAGGTCCAGAACATGAAGATCCTCAGCTGACAAACCAGCTGGACCAATTCCACCCTGGGATGGATAAGATAGAGCATCTTAACTAGCTGAAGTAGATGATCATGCACGATTCAGACAAAGTACTATAAGTTTATACCAACCTGAATAACAACCATGGTTCCAACGGCTGTAGCAACATGAGCAGCCCTTGGCGTGGGTGGCTCTCCTATAGGAGTCATCCTGTGATTATTAAGAAACAGAGACATACTTTATCCAATCTCAGTAAACCACAAAACTGAAAGTAGCTTATCAGTGACACCAATAGGCACTTACCTAGACCATTTATTTGTCAAAACATCATAGCAGTGCACATCAGCTGTAGCACCTGCTAAACCTGCAATTAAGATCTCTTCTATCAATTGATTATTCTACAAAAATCAAATTCTGTTTTTTTTTTAACGCATAAACATTGTATTCAGAGGTTTTCTGAGACCAGTAAAAGTCACTTTACTCGTTTCATTTAGTCTACATAACTGGAAAGATCATATCCTAGTCAAGTCCAAAAATTGCTCAGACAAAAAGGGTACAAGTCGGATAATTTGGAGACTTCAAGGAAACATACGAATTCCAGCACTTCCAGCAGAAGAAGGAGTCCCTGAAGCAGCAGAATTCCCTTCAAGCGCAGTTGCACCACCAAAGAGAATAAGCCTAGGACCAATGTAATTGGCGCTACCCTCCTCTCCAACCGCCGGTACAGCCGTTAAGGTATGCCCACACCTCGGCCCTGGACCATCCTCCTTCTTCTCTAGAACAGCGTGCACCACCGAGTACGCTGGAGCACACCTCGGCCCCGCCACCGGAGTACTGTCCTGCTGCTGCTGCTGAGAATTTGCCGGATGCTGCTGATCCTGAGGAGTCTCCGGCGGAGATCCTCCAGTCGATGACTGGCCGTTTAGCTGCTCCGACGACGCGCCGTTATTCTGATCGTGATCGGATTCCGGCGACATCGTTGAATCCACATCCATATCCCCCACCTCCAAACCCTAGATTCTTAAGCTTATCGGAGCTCAAATTCTCAACCATGCGCATTTTGGATCAACATATCCAATCCAATTCAAACCCCAAATGTCGAAAATCACAATTTCAAATCCTCTGATTCAAACACATCCAAAATTTACGAGAAAATTACAGACCAAAAGAGAGGAAATTCTAGGTTTTTCTTCTCTCTTCTTCTTTCTGAAGAAACTTCAAGGCGGTCGAGGAATACCAATCCGAACAGTTTTTCACACTAAAACTCTCTTCTCTGTCCAATCCTCGATCACTCGTTCTCTCTCTCTCTCTCTACGAATATTTAAATGTATGTACAGGCGCACATTTAGATATATCTATCTGTATCTATAAATTTATACGTATTTTTCTGCACATAAAGTACCTCTGTCTCTCTCATCTGTCAAATGGCTATGAAGAAATCTGACTACAGTGGACTTTATTTTTACCTCTCAGGGTACAAGTCCTGATGCGAGATTTACACTTTTTTTTTGCAGATCGTACAAGATATTACATCATGTGGTACAACAGCTTTAACGGTGATAACCGGTTCCGATTTCAACGGGAGGGATTCCCTCGTGAACAAGAAGGATTTTATGAGACGCGCAGGATCGGCGCGTGTGGAGATGTATGAAAGTGATTCAACCTGACAAATACATATGGGATGAGAGGGGGCTTTGGCTAAAGATAATGTTCATGATTGGTTAAGAGTCATTATTAAATTATTGAGTTTTATTTTTCTTATTATTATTCTTTTTTTTCCTTCTTTTTCATCGCTTTATTCTGCTTTTTATTCGTTTAATAATTCTCACATAGGGGCGGGGCGGATGCAAATTTTATTAAATTAACATGAAAATAATATTTTAATCAAATAAATACAATTCAAGTGACACCGCTTGACAAAGCTGGTTCGAAACCACCTAAGCGTTTTATGCATCTTTGAAGCCTTTTTTTTTTTTTTTTTTTTAAAGTAAGAGACTGTGGTGTGACTTGTGGGAATCGAACCCGTATATGCTTAAAATTAAATAAACAGTAAGCAAATATTGTTTAATCATAGCTAATGCGATCACACTCTTGATATGTAATTATTCTAATATAACATAAACAGATCGAATCATAATTCTCAAAAATATTGCTCTTTTGTTTTGTAATTTGCAACTTTTGGATGTAAGTTTGATAGTTTTACTCTTCTCATTTAAAGTTATTAATACTAAGACATTATACTTTTAAAATTATAGGTTCAATATATATATATATATATATAGAGAGAGAGAGAGAGAGAGATAGATATATATANACACGGCTTACATAACATTTTGCGTACGCCACTGTTTACCCGAAAAACGGTACAGTTGAATTTGTTCGTGGTTTCTTGACAAGTGAATTAATTTGATCCAAAAAGTAATTAAATAACTCATGAAATATGAAATACTTAGTTTTAGAATGTAGATGAAACAATAGAGCTAATGAGTCCGGGAACAAGGTTTTCTGGCACAACAATGATAAGATCAAAAGCGAGAGAATCAAATTGTATTAAAATGATGTATAGAGTGTAACATAAGTTAGCCAGAAAATTACTCCCCTTACAATGATCACTGGGCTCTCTATTTATAGTTATGTCTAGGGAAGTAAGTCCTAGTATAATGCCTTCTTTAATGTCAATTATGAGGGTCAATGATGCAGATGTAACGTTAGACATAAATGTCAAATTCCTTGTAACGGGCCATCATCCTTAATGTTGCGAAATATTCCATATTAAATGTTACCGAGCGCAAAGCATTTAATACTCCCTTTATGATTATTATTCCTTCCGGTGACAAGCGGAATAGCTATGTTCGGTGGCCATCTCCATCTTGTGTTCCACGTGTCATTCCTTAAAGCGGCCACGTGTCATATCGTATTTTTTCCTATACAGATAGTCCTCATACTTTATTGTGACATAACTTTGTGTTATCGGAAAGTTGGTAGAAATACTCTTTTAGCGGGAATTACTATAATTCCTTTTGAAGGCCACTGGCGGTTGATTAGACGCATGTCTCTCCGTATTTAATGCTCCAAACACGCGTCTTCCTATGATTTAGCTTGCCTTTTACCGATTATCGAAGTAATCATGGCCATGAATTTAGCCGCCAAAATTTTAGTTATACGCATCACCATTTTCTTATGTACTTCATAATCTCTCAAACTTCTAATTTGCACATTTATTTCCCAATTTTTCTCTGATCTTCTTCGAACCAAAAATTTTCCTTCCTTATATTCCAATGGCTTCCTCTTCAAAACGTGCTAGTTCTTCAAAGGGCAAGAACAAAACCGAGGATTCCGTTCCTCCAACGGTGGGTTCCATCATCACAAGAAGGCTTAGTACTGTTTACCCGAAAAATAGCACAGTTGAATTTGTTCGTGGTTTCTAGACAAGTGAATTAATTTGATCTAAAAAGTAATGAAATAACTTATGAAATATAAAATACTTAGCCTTAGAATGTAGATAAAATAGCAGAGTTAATGAGTCTGGGAACAAGAAAATTTCTCTCCCTTACAATGATCACTAAGCTCTCTATTTTATAGCTATGTCTAGGGAAGGAAGTCCTAGGATCATACCCTTATTTAATGTCAGTTATGAGGGCCATTGATGAAGATGCAACGTTAGGCATAAAATGCCAAATTTCTTGTAACGGGTCATCATCATTAATACTGCAAAATATTCTATATTAAATGTTACCGGGCACAAAGCATTTAATACTTCTTTTATGATCATTATTCCTTCCGGTGACAAGCGGAATAGCTACGTTCTGTGGCCATCTCCATCTTATATTTCACGTGTCATTCCTTTAAGTGGTCACGTGTCATGTCGTATTTTTTTCTATACATATAGTCCCCCTACTTTCCGGTGACATAACTTTGTATTACCGGAAAGTTGGTAGAAATACTCTTTTGGCAGAAATTACTATAATTCATTTTGAAGGCCACTGACGGTTGACTAGACGCATGTCTCTCCGTATTTAATGCCCCGAACACGTGTCTTCCTATGATTTAGCACGCCTTTTGCCGATTATCGAGGTAATCATGGCCATGAATTTAGCCACCAAAATTTTAGTTATACGCATCACTCTTCTCTTATGTACTTCATAATCTCTCAAACTTCTAATTTGCACCTTTATTTCCCAACTTTTCGTTGATCTTATTTGAACCAGAAATTTTTCTTCCTTTTATTCCAATGGCTTCCTCTTCAAAACGTGCTAGTTCTTCAAAGGGAAAGAACAAAACTGAGGATTCCGTTCTTCCAACGGTGGGTTCCATCATCCCAAGAAGGCTTAGTTCTTCGAAGGATTTTGAAGAAAAACTTCCTACTACTAACTCTCGCACATGGGCTGTTAGTAAGTACCCTTCTTATATTCGCCCTTCCAGTATTCATGCTGTGAAGGAGGACTGCCGCTGTCATGAGTTGGACATCATTGCCCCTGACCTATCGGAGCGAGTGACCCTTCTCAGGGAAGGGTTTACATATTTTTTCACGTATCCCTTTACTTTGGGTGCGTTTTCTTTGAGTGGAGAGCTTGATTTCGTAATTACGGAGTTTTGCCTTCTCTACCAAGTGTGTTTGGCACAGGTAAGTCCTTTAGTATGGAGGGCGGTTGCCTGCCTTCGACGCGTGTGCCTAGAAACTGGAGAGGAGCTAACCCTAGCTCATATGATGAATCTCTATTCCCCAAAAATCTTCCGGGGGGGAATAATAAACCTATGCAAGTATGGCCGCCATGCTTTGTTGTCTAGCATGGATGACGACAACGACTGTGGGTGAATTGAACGGTTCGTTGCAATTGCCACCAGTGACATTATTCCAACAACAGCATCATCCTTTCCGGTTGCTTGGAACCGCTCCTGTAAGTTCTCTTTAATACATCTTTTCTTACTGAATATTCTTCCATGCTTGTATTTATCCTTCAATCTTCGCTTGTTACAGCGACTCGATGGATCCCACTGGTAGGTTCAGAAGATCTTGGACATCACAATGCCCAAAACCCATTTGTGGAAAGAACTGTCCATTAAATACGGGTGGAAGGTCAAAAATTACGGTAACTTTAATTTACCTCATTTCTACTTTTTGTATATGAAGAACTTGGTCGAACCCTTCTGACCTGCTCACGAAATTAGGTCTACATGTGGGTTCAGTTGATGTCCCTAAGGAGGATATTTTAGATGACCCTGCTAATGCGGCGAGGCTGCTTCAAGAGGCACTTACTCGAACATGCGTCTTCGGGCCTGCTTCGGGCGCAAATATTTCTTTACGGAGTCCCCGGCCAGAGAACAAGCAACCAAAACGAAGACGTTCCTTTGTGGCCGGGGAAAAGAATAAGAGGGCAAAGCTAAGGTTGATGCCCCCGAGTCATCTCTGGTGGCGATGATGACCGGTCCTCCTTCCGGGCCGGTCATAGACACTGTTAGGGTTGTGCATGGATCAGATCGGATCGGATTTAACACATTTTAGATTCAGATTTCAGATTTTGGATTCTACAAAATGCAATCCGAATCCGATCCGAATTAATATCGGATCGAATTTTAAAGTTTGGATCGGATCAAATTTTCGGATTTCGGATCGGATTATTATGCCTCAAAGTTGCAAACTCATATGTATATTTTCTTTGTAAAAGAGGCAATACAATAAGAAAAATTTATGTTTATGCAATTATGAGAGTAGTATGGTGCCAATATAGCCAAATCCAGCAATTGTAAAGGTAATAACTTGGAGGAAGATGTAAATAAAATACTGACTATCCGAAATTAAAGTTTAATATTTATACATGCCCTAATAATTTCGGATTTCGGATCGGATCGGATTACAATTATACCAATCCGAATCCGATCCGAATATCCGAAATTTTAATAAACACAATCCGAAATCCAATCCAAATATCCGAAATCCAAAATCCGAAATTGTGCGGATCGATTCGAATTTTGGATATCTGTTCAAAATGAACAGCCCTAGACATCGTGATGATCGATGGTGATGAAAAAGCTAATGATGAGGGAGCTTCTTTACATAGAAGGCGTTGATCCTCATCATCTCAACAAGATGCTTAACCTGTTGACACTGTCATACCAACCGAGGATGATGTCTCGGCACTTTGAGGAGAATTTGATTTGGTAGATAATGCCAACTCCCGTTCTCGGGCCCCAATTATTGTGCTCGGTACTGCAAGACAGAGTACCGGGTCCGTGCTGTCTTTGGTTGGCGAGCATCAAACAACCAGCAGTGCATTTGATGTAGTTGTTTCTCACTCTTCCACTCCATCAGCTTTATCTCCACATTCACCATCATCAACAACTGCTATATCATTCCCATCTTCATCCACTCTTCCAACAGCAGTTGCTACATCATCTCCATCGGATGCACCTAACCATGAAGAAGGTAACCCTTCTCCCCAGTCCCAATTCATGGGAATTTGGGGCAAAATTATGCTGCCCCTTCTGAAGATCCACAAAGGAGGAGGAGTATTACCCTTTCGGTCTCCACCGGGTGCAACTTGCTTTCGAGGCCGGTGGAGCTTGCTAACTATCTGAAGCCTTTGGCTTCAGAAAAAGACTGGGAGAAGATTCATACATTCTTGGGAGAATGTTTGTTGAACAATGTTATGCATAATGCCGCAACAGTAC